TTCGAAGCCCAGAGATGCCTTCCAATGAGCTCCTATGCCAGCAGCGTCGAAACACCGATCAGTCAATAAGTTGTTATCAGTCTCGAAAACTGTTATCAGTCTTCAAAGCTGAATAATATGACGAATACTGAGTAATTAAGTATTAAATAGATCAATAAAACTTTTATGTAGAAATGTTACACGAAGGTGTCATGAAAAACAAGAAACCAAATAGTTAGGTACGAAATGGCAGATTAAGTAGATTGAAGACAGCCATAATCAGTGTAGGTGGGCGTGCTATAAATGGGCCCCCAGAGGTTATGGTGAATAAAACCAGTGTAATCTATCGATAAGCGCACGCCGCTTCACCAAGTGACGCGAACACAACAACAAAGAAGAGTCGAAGTTCACGTGGGGGCTGTTTGGCCCAAAACGCTTTTTGTTAGCAATGATGGATTACGAAAGCGTTCAAGAGCGGCGCGTCGGTCCCAGAACACTTCCTCTCAATCGTTCTGTGATCGATCCTGGAAGAAAGTGGCTAGGGCCAAACTTCGATGGCACAACTGATGGACTGTGTTCAAGGCGCCTTCATGTCTGGTGTTGGTTAGTTTCACCCGTGACATCACGAAAGAACTCTTAAATCCACATTGATAGGCTGGGCAAAGGGCAGAGTCCAGCAGCGAGGGGCCTATTGTGACCAATCTTCGTGAGGACGAGTTACACTTATCATTCACGCAGAGAATGCTTCAGATAGCCTATCTGGCGCTAGAGCAAGAAAAAATGTCCAGTTCTCCCCACAGGTCACCAAAGGCGCGATGACTAAAATTTAAGGTTAGACTTATAGCCTCGGACTTATGCTTACACATTGGTTGATGCTTAAAGCAACACTCCAGGTGAGATCCGTTCAACAACCTACTTTGTGGGTAGGACAGTTGTCCACGAGCATCACATAATTGCCATTGTTGCGATTCAAAACTGCGCGACAAACGCGCTAGGACGTTACAATTGCGCTAATGTGAGCTAATGGACGAGATACCTCGCGCAAACCCCGGAATGTGGATTACGGTAGCGCCGGTAGTTCGAATGCGCGCGGGTTCAAGGAATCAGCAAGAAAGTTCGGAAAACTCATCCAGACGCAACCCCCTCCCCATCTCGGGAGGGAAGAGAGGGGCCTTTGGAAGTTTCATAGACGAGAGTTTACTTTTTTTTCGTTTTCATGCACTCTTTCATTATCGAGCCCTATTTCCCGCACTAATTTGAGGCGGGGTTCTTTTCAAACGTGAGATTACGCTTAGGCATAGTCTAACTGCCTGCTACGGGGTGGAGAGCAACACTAAGCGAAGGAAGACTAGAGCCCAAACAGTTTGCCCATTTTCTTTGTTTCATACAGCGATTCAACATGAAAATGTGGTCTGAGGGGGCGAACACAGGAGCGCACTGCGGCAGCCACTGCCCCTCTACCCCTCAAGTTCACAACCGAAAAGCGGAAGACTGGAAGTGTAAGACCAAACGACATGTCCAACTTTTTATTCAACAAACATACTAAACATGCAGTTGAAATGAAAACGACTATGAACACATCGGTACGTTAATTATTTATATAATATTTAATAAATTGCATTACAGAACATCTGACAACGTTTCTGATTGCTGAATTGATTTTTTCTGCTGTTCGACGCTAGGTGCAGTTTTTACTTTGGAAAATGATGCTGTCCAATTAGGACTTTTGTGTGTATCACGGAACAACGCCAAATCAGCAGTTGAGGATTACGGTAGTAATGCATTTAAAAATTGTAGAAAGGTTATCTTTCAAAACGTGGTGACTAGGAAAATTGAGAATGTCGGGATAGCTTTGCAGCATTGTTCAAAGAACTGTTAAGGTTCAAACAGCATGAGCCTCTGGTTGAGCGCTGGCACTGGAGCCCGTTCTCATGGCTCTTGGAGAAGAATCAGGCATGACTACCTCAGCTTTCTTTGCCCGTATCTGAAATTCACAAAAAAAGAATCTTGAAATAAGGTCCGGAAGTGATTTTGAACACAGATAAGTCGATTTGGAAGAGGATAGATTTCAGTAGCCCATGGAAAGAATTCGGCCCACTCCGAGCAAGAGTTTTGCGAACTGAGCCCAGGTAGAGGAGAGGAACTCGTCGAAAACAAGGATTGCTCACGCACCCCTCCTTAGTTCCTACCCCCTCAGGCTTAGTCTTGAAGAGGGAGGGAGGGCCAGGAAAGGGGAAGTTGCGTACTGGGCTTTTAGCATAGTGATGCTCCCCCCCTCTCAAGTACAACAGCGCTGTATTTGTGCAATCTTTTGAATGCTTAAAATATTTCGCGCGAGGGCGGAAGTGATTCAGTGGGGGGAAACCCTGCCGCTTACCACGCGCACGGTCCGACAACCAAGCCATGAACCGTACGTCATCCAGCCCAGGCAAGTCTTCCATCCCTTAGGTATCCGTTGAGTGGTAAAGGAGCGATCTGGGAAGATAAAAGCAATGATTTGTACATCACGCTGGCACACAGTCACAGCTGAAGAGCGAACCTAATGACACAGAGCCGTGCCTTGCATCCGCATGCAGCCCCCCCCCTTCAGAAAGCGTAGGTTTTCAAATACGGTTAATATGACGATTACTCACATGCCGGCTAGCAAACACGTATACTAGGACAGCGAAGATCAACACGAGAGCAACCTGAATGCAGAAATGTCTCTGCAACCTTTTTGATTCTTTTTGTAATAAGAATTCTGAAGCCTAATAATGCTACCAAGCATTTTTATCACTGCAAAGCTCCCATCTTAATAGAGTCCTTCCATTGCCATGCCGCCTCAATGAGGTGGGAGGTGAGAACGGCGACAATTGGGTGCGGTTGCCCAAACACCGCTGCTATTTGTTAAGACTCCAGTCACTTGTTTTTTGTTTGTGTGCCACACAGGTTTTTTACGGGGGAATCTTTATCAATAAAGATTTCACCGTAAAAAACCTGTGTGGCACACAAACAAAAAACAACTGTTCAACATCAAAATGCCCAGGTTTCACGAAAGGCGAACATGGAGGACTCCAGTCACTATTTTATATAGCAACACAGCCCTTCTAGGCACGATTCTTTGAAGAAATGGTCTATAGAGCACCACAGATGCTATTGGTCGACATGGTTATTTCACCCTGGTTATTCCATTACATTGCTTGAGACTCGATATGAATTCGGCTGTCCTTTCGGCAAGAGTTGACAATGAACTCGCCACCGATGACCTTGGAAAGAGTTGATCAACTTGTGGAATGTATAATGCAATATAAAATTGATCAACTTGAAGATGAAGTAAGCAAACCAGCCCTTTTGGCGTTTCTGCTGGGGCCGTGGCTGAAGTAGAAGTAAGTGAAGTAGTCCGTCGACCGTCGGGGACCCCATCCCTCCCCAACATTCAGCACACGGTCCCAGCAGAAACGGCAAAAGGGCTGGTTTGCTTACTCCTTGAAGATCCATCCCTGCGGAATGATCGTGTGTAGTTTTTGGTGAATGTTGCTCTTCCGGTTGTTCAAGTTCAAGATGTGCTGATCAATGGAATTTTCGGAGATTTTAAAGAAAAATTTCAAATGACGTATAGTGATCTGGATAAGCTTTCCTGAGCCTTGCCACATGCTGCTTTGTCTCGAGCGGAGGTCGAGAGGATAGGATCGTCCGTTCCGAGCTCTGCATTCCACGTGGTTGTGCACTTCCATTTTAGTCTGTCCACTTGCGAATGCACATGTGAACAAGGCGAACCACCGTACCACATACCGCTTCAAGTTCCCAGTAGTGCTTGCTCGTCCTAACTGGGTGTTCAGGCGGAACAAGACAATCCCGCACACACGTTCGGCGCATTCTGTATCAATTTAATAT